AAGTAGACTGAATCCAAAAAATATAAAACCAGAAATGTGTAAAAAGAATTGTCGTCCAGGAAAACATAGGAGAGGCTTCTCTCACCAGGAAAGGAAACATGTAAATTAAGTTACTGCTAAGCCTAATTTACCAGATTAGGGAGGGACCATAGCTTGCAAGACTTTTACCCAAAAGGGCTGATTGAAACTTGAGAGAAGGTCTAGCTGATAATGGCGAACAAAAGTGGAAAATATGGACGGTGAAGCCGCCTTGCAGATTTTCTCTGGTGTGGCACAAGCTCTTTCTGCACACAAGGTAGCCAAAACTCTCATCATGTGCAGTAACAAAGGAAGGAGGCCTTACCCCGTAGCCTTGTGAGATTCACAGATGGCTAACTTGCCCAATCAACTATGGAAGACTTTTTTTCCTAGTCTTTACCAGCAAAAAGGGCAAGTAGAGTACGTGCCTTCCTAACAAAATTGATGGCTTCAATGTAAGCCGACATACAATTGAAAAGAGAAGGTTTGGAAAGGTGGGGGTTTTTTAGGCACTCTAAGCGATGAATCACAAACATGTTTTTATATAAAATGTATACATTTTATTAGATACATAATTAAAAAAGGTAAATCCCAATGCAAAAGAAAAACCAAGAAACACCTCCAATATCCACCAATACCCTGAGTATTAGATGGTTAAGACTAAATTTACATGATTAGTTGAACTAGTTGATACATAAATATAATTCCTTTGTAGGTCTCATCTCCTACAATATGATTGACACAGTCAAATTGAGTAGACGGCAAACCTGTAGCAATTCGTTTAGGTTAAATATTATGTAGACAAAGGGGATTCAGCTCTATAACTATTTGAGGCCATCTGTTGAATAAAGATGGATTCAGTGTATAGCCAGCTACGGCTGAGTATAGTTAGTATAAAAAGTTTAATATGATTGTATTGTAATCATCATTATATTGAATTGCTATCAAGGGCTGCAACAACTAATCGACATAATCGATTATAATCGATTATTGAAAAAGTTGTCAACTTTTTCAATCATCGATTAATCGGCTTCCGATTGGTTGGCCCTGTTCACGGCTCCACGCTGCGCGCCACACTTCCTCCCCACCTCACGCTCGCTGCTGCCAGACCCGCCCGCATCCACATGCCGCACCTCCTCACGCTCACCGCCCGCCCACATCCACGATCGACACAGGGACGCGGGGAGAAGAAGTAAGGAGGAGCAGGTGTGGGGGGATGACAGCTGCCGATAGACAGGTCCGACCTCAGAAACAAGTTGCTGGAAGACTGCTCAGGTAAGCCTGCACTTTCCCCACACATGGTGCTCTATAATGTATTGCTGGGATTTGTATTCCTCTATAGCTGATGGTACATTGTGCTGTATATTATACAGAGGAATACAAATCCCAGCAATACATTATACACTGCATGTATAATGTATTGCTGGGATTTGTTGTACTCCTCTATAGCTGGTGGTATTCTGCATTGCGCTGTATAGAGGACTACAAATCAAGGAATAATACATTATACAGTGCAATGTCGAATACCACCAGCTATAGAGGACTACAAAACCCAGCAATAGTACAGTGCACTGCAGAATACCGCCAGCTATAATGTACTATTGCTGGGTTTTGTAGTCCTCTATAGCTGATGGTATTCTGCATTCATTGCTGTATAATTTTACACTTTCCATTTCATTATATTGCACACCACACTTTTTTTTTTTCTTTTTTACTTCCACCGCTCCAAGCTTGCTCCTGTGATGGACTGCAATCTCAATACAAACTAGTAAGTCCCATCACTGGAGCCATTTTTAAAAATTTATTTTATGTTTTATCCGATTAACCGATTAATGGAACTTAATAATCGGCTAACTAATCGATTATGAAAATAATCGTTAGCTGCAGCTCTATTGCTATCCTGATTACGTCAATTGATATGTATCAACCATTAACACTTGATCCGAACATTAGAGAGAATTGGCATTGTACATATTAGGAGTCGTGTTTTTTTGTATGGTTTCTTAGCTTTGACTCAGGAAGTTGGAGCTGGTGGAATATAACAACGCGTTTCGCTTATCGCACCGCTTCTTCAGGTCTAGAGGTGGTCTAAATTAAGAGTATAGAGCAATTACATGAGTCATCTAGTCAACCTCTAATAGAGAGCATGACATAATATACCGTATTTTGCAGTCCATAAGACGCACCAGACCATAGGACGCACGGAGGTCCGACATATACGTTATGAACAGCAATGCACTCGGATGTCCATCGTATATAATCAGCAAATGCTTCCACAAGCAAATAAGCAAAAAGCAAGAAACAATAAGGGTGCCAGTCTTACCAGACCCAGGTGAGGCCACCCGATGCCCCCATAGGGCAGTATTCAGCAGCTCAAGAGTTTAAAATGTTTGCCCAGACAGTGGAATGAATCAGGGTAACAGCGTCTAGGCATGAAAAGGCCCATATAATGAATCAGGATATCATATAACAACGAATGGGAAGTTTCTAGGTGGCATGATCCATGAAAAACCAGAGGCAGGATGTTCGGCGTCATTAGACATCTTGATTTGCTGGACCAAGGGTACGTAACTCCCGCACATGTGCACTGAAGTTTATTCACACCGGCACCAAGACATGCTGCTTTAAGGACTTACCTTAAATGATGCCTCTTGATCATATCATCTTCTTCCTTCCAGTAGTTTTCAGCAGTCCCTCCAGTGCTGGTGCCGGTCTCTGATCCAGCGCAGACTGCTGTCTCTTCCTGTCCCATGAAGTCTGTCTTGCATGTACACTCATGGCTGCGTGCACTAACTTACACAGTAGCTCTCCTCCTCTCCCCGCGGGTGTTATCGAGTGCGCCTGCACTCATACTCCTGCACAGCCGCTCAAGCTGGATTGTGCAGCCCAGGCCAGCAGAGACAGAGGTAAGTTTTTAACCAATTTGGTAACGTTCATTTTTACTTTTTAAAAGGTTTTTGCATATATCTACTGCTTGCTAGCAGTAGATAAATGGAAAAAAATTGAGGCTTTGTCACTTTAAGTACATCAATTCATACAAAAGGACCAATTCCACAAGCTGCTTTTTTATGTACCCTTTAAAACAGTTGATCAGAAGTTAAAAATGACTCATTTGCACTGCTATGTTGTTTGTGTTTGCAAGCTGAAATATCAAAACACAAAACATGCATTTAAACAAAAAAAAAAAAAGGAAGAGATATCTAAAACTTAGAAGTACTGGAGCTTCAAGTGTTTTGCACACAAATGGAGCAAAAAGTTTTGTGTTCCACAACATGTAGCCAAAATAATTTCAGTAGGTAATTAAAAGGAGAACTATGGGGGTAACCTTTTTATCCCATAATTGTCTTTAGGGTCACGGGAGGACATAAACTAACGTCCTCCTGTGACCCAAAGCTATTTATCACTATATACTGAGAGCGCTGCAACCGGGATGTATCCTGACAATACTGTCAAGATCCACCCAGCCTGCTGATTGACAGTGGGCTCTGCCTATCTAGAGCCAAAGCCAGCTGTGCCCACCCCCTCCGTTCAGTGCTGGAAGATCAGAGAGGTGAGGGGGGAATCCCAGTGGGGAGCGGTGACTGACAGTCACAGCTCTCTGCAGGGAGATGATTGGGAAGTGAGCGAGTGACGGTATATGTTCGCTCACTTCTCGATCTATTGAGCTGATGTGTGACAGTTTCAGTTTCGCATGTTGGCTCTAACTATGAGGAAGAGTGGAAATCACTCATCTCACAGTTCTCCTTTAATTGTATATTGGGGATCTGCATCTAAGACGTTTTTGAAACCTTATAACATTATAATTAGTAATCAGAAAAGACTATGGAAAAGCAGCAGTTTTGTTGTCTGTGCAGCACACAGAGAAGATTCCAGTGAGAGAACAGATGGACAGAAAGTTACACACAGCAATAAAACATCTCAGAACTTCTAACTCTTTCCTACTCTGCTAAAAATGTATTTTTGTTTGCCTTGGAAAGCTTTTCCCTCACTTCCTGTAAGGACAGTAAGCAAGCAAGAGTAAAGCTCCACGACAGGGACACAGTAATAAAAACCCGGCCAAGAACTGAACCGTTCCCTGATCAAAGGCAAACATTTAATGGTTCATTAATTTAGCACAGAGAAAGTGTGCATTTATTGCCATAGTTTACTTATTTTATAAAGCGGTCCCCTACTAATCAAAGAGGAACTAAATACATCCTGACAAATTCCATTGTGGACATCCATGCACCAATCTGAAGAGCAGATCTCAGCCCTATTATTTCTGTGGAACCCATGGGGTTGATTTACTAAATGTGCACTTTCCACAGGTAGTTTCCGCTTAGTGAATGAGGTGAAGCTCTGCTGCCAGCCACCATCCAATTGTGAGCAAACAAAAATACAGGTTTTTATTTCCATTTCCCTTGCTCATGATTGGGTATTCTTTTCAAAGTGAAAGTTGACCACAATTACTAAGCTAGCAGAAAATTCCCTAAACAAACTGCCTTGCAAAGTGAACAGCCTATTTACCTCTTGGTAAATCAAACTCCATATCTCCGATGTCTGCATTAGAAACCATATGTATAGCTCCAGAAACCAATAAAGAGGACTAAGAGGTAGCACATTTACTTTTCTTTTATATGAGAAAATATGTACTTCTCCTTTAAGCACCAGAAAAGCCATTGTTACTCAGAATGCACTCAAACAATAATATCACTACAGGACGAAAGCTTCAGGGACCACACCACGATGTTCTTTTCAACTCAATCTACTACTCCTGCAGAACTGGAAATCAGCAGTGTTGTGCCGTGAAATCTCACACATTGAGCAAAATAATAAAAGACAAGGACATAAGTCAGTGGTCAGGGCCTCTACCATTTGTACTCCAAGGCCCTGACCAGTGAGTGCGTGTGGGTGTGAGAAGGAGGCGGAGTCCGCACACCAAATAAACACAGCCACATGCAGGCACGCACATACACTTCTCACGCCGCTTTCTTCCACTTTACCTGCTACCCCGAGGCAGGGCGGTAGAACAACACCCCGGTTACCGGGACGCAGCGCTACGACTTCACAAACAGACTTCACGCCTTCCCACAGGTAACTACCTCAAAGGTACTTCCGCCAGGAGCGTCGGCCCCCGGCGTCATGACGTCACGCGGCGTAAAGCCGTGGCCAGTCAGCTGTCAGGACTACTGGTTAGGAGTCACTGATTGGTTAGGCGGTTCACGCTGTTCTGTCGGCGCTAAGGAAAGTCCAGCTAGCGGACGCCAGGTTGGCGTGCCTGCAGCGTGTACCTGAGCTGCTTTGTAAAGTGAGCAGGCTTGGAGTTGTAAAGGTAGACTAGAGTCCCGGTTTAATGGCTTCTGAGTGGTAAAACGATGTTTCTAATTCTCCTATTTATGGCATGGAGATAGCTGCCTATCAAGGGAGACACTTTTTTTTTTATTGCTGTATGCAGTGAGGCATTGTTCACACCAGATGAGTGAAGGCTGTGCTGGAAGCCTTTTCCAGTGCAGTCCCAATCAGTGGCGTCACTAGGGGGGTGCGGCCTGCACCCGGGTGACACCAAAATGACTGAGTCATTTTGGTGTCACCCGCTCTGAAAAGTCAGGCATTTGGTCACGGACCAAGAGCGAGACAGTTGCTCGAGAAAGGAGGGGACACGGCAGCATACCTTATCCCGCCGGGCGAATGTCCCTTCCTCTCTCTGCCGGTGTCCATCACCAAGATTGCTGCCGGCAGGTAACAGCACGTGTACGCGATAATGTCATTTGCACTGGCACAATGTCACTGCGGGTTGTTACCCAGTACCAACTACGGGTGACACCCTGCCTCGGGACGCCCCTGGTCCCAATGCAAATTGATTTGTTTACAATCAGACCAGTTCACACCACTGCTGATGGTATGCTTTAAAATAACTATTGCATGCAGTACGTTTTCACAGTTGCCAATATTTCCAGGGACACTGCTTGTTTTTCTCCAGTCAGCACCAACCAACTCAACATAAGTCAGGTTTTATGCAATCACTGTTCAGGTACTCTAACAGCCATGCATGCCATACAACAGCTGCCCTAGGAGATTCCTCCATCCACACTCTAAGCGCTGCTATCATTTTGGGTAGAACGTTGGAAGATGTATTAGATAGATCCGCTGATAGGAAAAGGCTTTCCCTAAAATAAAATAAAAATCCAAGATTAAAAACCTTTTCGGATGTTCTAGATTTCAAAACAAAAATAAATGTACAAAATCGGGAGCCCCATAAGTACTGGTCCTCCAAAAAAGCCAAGAACAAGAGAAGTTTTTTTTTCCTCCCTCTAGAAAGGCACCCCACTGTGGGAGGAAGGCTGACTTACTTCCTCCTACAATGGAGGTCAAGTCAGAAAAAAATCCATTTATCCTGATCATTTAAATGCCTGGGTTACAGCTTAGCATTCAAATCTACTCCCCCGACAAGGGTACGCATAACCTCCCTCCCCAAAGACAAGCTAAAGGCTACAGCTTTCTCACATCCTATTCAAGAATTGAAAACCCAAAGAGTCATTGTTGGGGCTCCTCTGAAAGAACAGGGATTCATTAGGTTTTATTCGCACACTTTTCTAAGACAAAATGTTTTTGAAAATTTTGGGTCATACTAAACTTAAAAGCAAAACAGACGACAAACGCACTCAACAATTTGTCACCAGTTATACAGTAAGGTTGCACACAAAATGGGCTTTGAACAGTAATGGGCCTTTCTACTGTTATACTAAACTTAAAGCCCCCTTAATATTCCATAAGATACAAAAAAAATTCAGAATGAAGTCAAATGTTTTTCCTTGAGAAACCTGTTGACAAAGGATGCATTTATGTTAACAATAGACCTGAGGGATTCATACTTGCATGTTCAGATCCAGCAATCTTCTCAGTAATACCTGAGGTTTGCCATAAAAGACACCCAAGACACCAAACGCTGGCAGTTCCCAGCCCTCCCCTTTGTCCTGTCCTCAGCTCTATGTATTTTTGCAAAATACTAGCAGAAGCATTAGTACCCCTGAGAGAAAAGGGAATTTCCCTAATCTCGTATCTGGATAACCTCCTTTTATTTGCTGAAACAGAGCTCAATTTAAGAACAGATTTGCAGGCAACTCTGGAGCAGATGAGAAAAAATATGGAAAAGTCCAATCTCACCCTCCCAGAGGGTGGCCATTTTGGGTTAGGAAATACACTCCAAAATACAGAAAATTATTTTGACTGCACAAAAACTACACAAGATTCAGCCAGGAGTAGACTACATTATAAAGTGTCCAGCCCCAGTCCTAAGGTGCATTATGAGGCTCCTGGGCCATAGGACATCTTCGTTTCCTGCAGTTCAGTGGGCACAGAGCCATTCAAGACTACTTCAGAACTACCTTTTTTTCAATATGAGATGGTTCTCAGGCAACGATGGACAAACAGAGCCCATTACATCTCACAATAATGCAGGATTTGCTTTGGTGGAAAAAACACTTCAATCTTTCCCTATGGAGAGTCTGGATACAAACCAACCTGATATCTATCACCACAGACGAAAGCAATTTGGGGATGGGGAACCCATCTAGACCACCTTATGACTTAGGGAAAATGGCCCAGAGTATGGGTGCTGAAATCCTCATTCACAAGGAAGCTCTTAGCACTAGGCAAAGCTATAGAATTCTTACATAGACTAAGAAGGGAGCACTCCCTCATCCCCCACTACTTCCCAAATTAGTGCAGAAAATATGGGCAGATACAGCAAAGGTAATTCAGCTAGTCCCATTTTGTCCCAGAAGCCCATGGTTTGGCAGTCTTTGTAGATTGAGCGTGTGTCCTCCCTGGATTCTGCCAAACCTCCCATATCTCATCCGCCAAGGGTCAGTGCAGCTTCCCAGAGTGCAACAACTGAAATTGCCCACCTGGTACCTGAATGGGAGTTTTTGAAATGACCACATTGAAAAAAAGGCGGCAACTAGTGTGAACGAGCCCTAAATAAAAGCATGTAAATAAAAAAGCTTGAACTGGTGACAGGGTAGTTACAAGGACTGTGGCATTTGTCTACTGCATGCATCATGTAGGCTTAGGTTCCATTCAAGTATACCCCTTTAAGTTCCTCCACGGTCAGGCTAGTGTGGCCACACTCACCATTTGTCACACCAACCTTTTTTGTTTTAGTGCCCAGGGGTGCCCCAGGTCTTTCATAATCCTAGCAGCATCCCGGTAGTAGATTGCTTTTAATTCAAATACATGTTAAAATGATTAGTAGATCTAGAGATGAAGGCAGCTGAAGTTAAATGCAAATTAAATTTTTTCCTCTGAAAGTGGTCAGTGAGGTAGTCCACATCTTGCGATGGAAAAAAACACTGAACTAACCAGACAGAACTATGTTAGGTCTACGTGGAGTCGGATATAAGCAGATTCCTGTCTGTTTACATCCGGCTGCTCATAGAGTTTCATTGGGCTTATAATCACAGTCGCCTAAACAACTGACAGGCAGATCTGAATGGACTGTCTGTGTGAAAGGGGCCTAAGGGCTCAATTACACCTCTCCAGTGTGGTGCATTGCGGGAATAAAAATTACTTGTATAATTGATTCATTGCGGTGCAATTTATTTTGATGCAATGCAACTCTTATGCACATGAATTGCAATGCACCACAGTGCACTGTGCATTGTGGTGTACTGCAAATAATTGTGCATGTATTTTTTTGGGGGGATGTTTTGGTGCGTTGCCAGCCTCTTCCTTTAAATAGGCTGCCTTCATACAATGCACCAGTATGCCAAGGTGTGAATGGGCCCTAAAGAGTAGAAGGTTGTTAAAATGTTCATATGGGCAGATTCTGCCTTTATGCTAGATATATTGAGAGACTTTCACCTAACTGTGCCAAAATGAGCTCACTATACATATTACAATGTGACTGTAAAAACAACTTTACATTTACCAAAACTATGCAATATAATTACCTACACTATCCAATCAGTCTCCAATAAATCAGACAGGTCTTTGCACTACATAGGTGTAAGAAGATCTAAAGATTGTCACGATCCCTCAACCTGACGTTCAACCATTTCAGGAAGATGAAATAGCGGGTGTCCTGGCTTCTTTGAAACTAGGCAAAAGTCCAGGCCAGATGGTTTCTTGCCCCACCTTTATAAAACATTCACAAGGTTATTCACAAAAGGATAGAGTATGGAGAAGGCAGGAGAAGTGAACAATCTAGGACAACATAGCTGATCTTGAAAAATTCTCCAATTCAGCTCACTTTCCAGTTCAGCTTGTCCTAGATTGTTCACTTCTCCTGCCTTCTCCAAACTCCTCACCCTTTTGTGAATAACCCTGTCAAAGATACTCTTACCCCTGTTCTCACTAAAACATAAAATGCAATAGCTTCTACCAACTTTTTCCAAGCTTAAGCCTTGGAGGCTCACATTATTGTTGTTCCAATGCCTGGCAAGCATACGTCTTCATGTGGGGAGCTATAGGTCAATTTCCCTTACTAATATTGGCACTTGTTTGTACTGGAAATGGCTAGCTAACAGACTTAAGCCATTGATACCTAATATTATCCATCCTTACCAATTGGGCTGTACTACTGGCCGGGAAGGCAGGGATAATACCATCAAAACCATATCCTTTAATGAACATGCACAACCCACCCATATCCCTGCTCGCCTTATATCTGTAGATGTCGAAAAGGCATTTGATAGGGTTTATGGGGAAATATCTATGGGAGACATTACTTCACATCGGAATTGGCCCTACACTGTTACACAAAATAATGGCGCTATACCACAACCCCACCACTCAAATTTGGGATTTTGTCGGAACTACTGCAAATTTGTAATGGGACCTGTCAGGGATGCCTGTTGTCGCCCCTTCTTTCTACACCCCAGTTCCTATATTTTTGTGCATAGTTGAGTCGGTTAGCCTTGTTTACACGTCGGTGGTTTGGCTTTTTGGCCACAAGACCGCAGAAAAATGGCAGCAGGTGCTCTGGACTCATGAGGCAGTAGTAGTCTCTTTTTATCTAATGTGGATGATGTGTTTCCTGTTGCAGGTGGGCCGAGCCCTCTCTCTCATTGGCTGTGCTGGAAGATTCCAGGAAACAGTTACCAGGTAACTAACTCACGTTTTTCATGGTTTGGCCA